ACATTTATAGGGGGAAGCTAAATGTTGACATTTTGGTTCAACCTAATGATGCTTCAGGTGATGAAATACAAAAGGAAAGGCTTGGTAACACATTCAGAGCAGCAGTTTTCAACCTTTTTCGGCCCTAAGAGCCACTTTTACACAAGGAAAGTGGCAGAGAGCTACTGATGTTTGGTAAAATTCATCTAACGGAAGCACATTTTGTTATAAAAAGAAGAGATTTTCAAAGTTCTTACCTTTACCTACTGATTTGGTGAGCAGAACTCAGTTTTCCTATAAAACACTAAAACTTGTTTGCTGCAATGTAATGCTAAATAGACTATGCTTTTTTAAAACCCTTTGAAGAACTATTCAGGTAGTTAAGAGCTACTGGTAGCTCGTGAGCTAGAGGTTAGACCCCTGATCTAGAAGAATACCTCTATAGTTTTCTTCCTTTGGCACCTTCTTCTTCTCTTTTTGACTATTTGAGCTGCTGTAACGACTACATTTCTCCACTTTGAGATCATTAAAGTCAATCAGTCAATGTCTGCTCAACATGCATGTTAATTGTCCGGCTTTGGTCTTTTGATTTTATTGATTGCACTGTACAATGCAACCGCATCCTCACCAGGTTCTTGGTCTTCAGTTCTGAAAAGACAACAACAGTGACAAAAGAAACAAAAACCCTGCATAAATAGTTTAAAATTGTTCTATTCTTCCATTTTACTTGGGGAAATCTGTAGCACAGATCTTACAGAAGATGAATCTAATGAAAAAGGTACTTATGGTGTGTAACTGACAGTGATCTTTAGGTCTACTTACCTCTGGCCAAAATTAGCAGTGGCAAATTTCACAGTGGCATACTCTACATCTGGATTCTCATCCTCCTCCTCATTAGATCTGCCAGTTTTAGCGGGTTGTAAATTTGCATAGATGGGATCTCTCTGCCTCCTCAAGAAACGTAGGCTGGCATATTGAACATCTTCCTGTATTTCTGACTGAGTGTGTTGGCACTGCAGAAACAAATGCATTTCATAATCTTAGAAATTTTCGCTCAAACGTGAAACTTAAGTGAAAATCAGTGTTTAAGACAGCTTTTAAAAAAAAAAGCTTTAATGCCCATCATAGGGGCAGTTGCGACTCAAGTAAAGCAGGTTTGCTTTGGTTTGTTAACACTGACTGAACACATGAATTCACCTTTTTTTGTCTCTGCTTCTTGGCTTCACTTCCTTGATCATTCCCCTTTATTCACCATTAGGTAATGCATGAATGAATTAGTTTTGATGTGCTTGTACCTATATGTTGATTGCTTGGTTTGTTACTAACACACTGTGAGATATTTATGCAAGTAGTCTAATAACAAACATATTTACTGAGATTAAATGGTGTCACCCTATGATGGATGATCAAAAGGCTAAGGCTTATTGAATTTTTTAATGGAAAGTTTTATTACATTTCCCTCTAGCACTCCTATCTCCATTAACAACAAACTAACAGTTGTATCTGCATCATTATCATAATGCAGTTCAGTGAAGAGGATATTGAACCTCACCTGTTCAATGTTGTTGGGGCTTTCTCCAGGTTTAGGAGAGGGCATCGAGGATCTTTGCTTCCTGGTTGTTAGAAAAGAATTCCTTAGTCTCATCTACTCTCCCAGCAAGAAAAGCTGTTGTTCAATGCAAAAACTATAGATCAGAATAAATCCTCTTACCTCAATAAGAAGAAGACAATGAGAAATATGACAATCAGAAAAATAAAAACCATAGTTCCAATGACTGCTAGCTTTGATGGCCCTGAATAAGGAGAAATGCAATCAAACCAGATTGAGAGTTAAAGTTGATTCAGCAAAACAAACTTCCTTACCAGTTCTATTTAGGTATAGCTAAATCGGTCTGCAGCAAATGCTGATATAACTTGAATCAGTGCCTGTTCTCCTCAGACCGTGTTTAACCTCAGGCTTCACTAACTACATGGTAGACATATCATTTAGATGTAAATGAGAAACATTACAATAGATCTGAAGAGGTTTACCTGCAACAACAATCACAGATATGGTGGCGTTCTGATATCCTAGGCTGTTCTGGACTTTACAGTGATAATCTCCACTGTGTTCTTGTTGTATGTTTTCAATAATGAAGTTTTGTCCTGAAGTTTTATCTGATTCATGCCCCTCCTTGTACCAGACGTAAAGAGCTGCTGGGTTAGCGTCACAGCTACATGTCAGAGTCACTGAGCTGCCCTTCGTAGTTTTGCCAGCAGGAATAATTGAAACAGACAGAGATCGGGGAGCATCTGCAAAACAAAAAAGTAGTTTTTATTGCATACAGTATGTCCAGTTTTATAAACCCTTATATTATTATTATTATTATTACAAGTGACCTCTCCAGAATTGCATTGCAAATGTTGATTTAGTGATTCGGATTATTTAATGGTCGATATTTTTGTTTAACTGTTATTTTATACTTAAACCGGAATGTAATAATTAATATACAAAAGACGTTTTCTATGTGCTACTGCTCACATTTCACATCAATATTGACTGTAGATGTCTTTTTTCCGAGGTTGTTCCAGGCGCTACAGTAATACCGGCCAGATGCAGATGAGTTGACATTGTTTAAGTTGAGGTTTTCTCTTAAACTCAGAGGGTTGTTGTCATTTTCCCTGTACCACCTGTAACTAGCTGCTGGGTTTGCATTACTGAGGCAGGTAAGAGTCACTAAGCTTCCCTCCATGATCTCCCCAGGAGTGACTGAAACAACAGGAAGCTTTGGAGCGTCTGAGAAAATAAAAAGTGGATATTAAGCAAGCATGAAATCTAAGTATTCCCTGGTATAAATGCATGAAGTCCTTACAAGGTAAACTTACAGAGAATGTCCAGAAACAGAGGGGAAGAGGTATGGTTTCCATATTTGTTCTCACATTTGCAAAAGTAGTTTGCTCTGTCCTCAGAGCTTACAGAGTGGAACGGATAAACCTCTCCAGATCCAACAGTAAGCGAATGATTATGCTTGTAGAAGGTGTATTGAGCTGCTGGGTTAGCATCACTTCTACAGGTCAGAGTCACTGGTTTACCCTCCTCCACTTTACCCCGGGGACTCAGTGACACATTGCAGGTCTTTGGTCGGTCTGTGTGAGTAAAGATTGCAATGTTACTTTAAAGAATAAAGGGTGTTTCTCATCATATTACAGAATTCAATAAAAATGGAACCAGTCTCCAAGTAAATAAAAGGATATAAGCCTGCTTGACTGTTTAATCCACAATCAAAATACATTCAAACTGGATCAGACAGGTAACTAAAAGACAAACAGACCTTTATTTGTTGGGAATCTGTAAAATCAAAAGATAAGGCACTGAAAAAAAAACAACAACAACCTTTTATCCCTGGTATAAACTTTCTTTTGTGAGTTTGACATAGGGATTGAGAATAAAAAAAAAAATCAGTTTTAGTTAACAAAAAGGAAATTTAGGATCCCCATTCAGTCACCACTGATTATTACTTCCATCATGGGGGTCATGTTTCTGCTTCTCTGTCTGCGTACAGGATCATTTTATAATTAATGAAGACTTTAACGCATTTTTACCAAAGGTGCACATCAGTCCAAGGAGCAATTAGTTACATTTTGGCACAGATCCACATCATAATCCTGATGCAGGATTTTTTTAAAGGATTCTTTAACATTTGGTGGAACAAGCAGTTCGTCTCTAAACTAGATGGTGGCAGCAGTGACTACTGACAGCTTCAGCATGGTACTCAAAAGGTGCAGAAGTATTATACTGCAGAGAAAAACACAGAACAGGTTAGCCATGCCTTTTAATCTGCTGATCCCAATAAGGGGTATAATTTACTGCTTTGCGGAGATCTGCGTTCTCTGAGAGTTTTTCTATTTTTAAGTCTTGCAAGAATGAGAAGTTGCAGAAAGAGA